TTTTTTTTTTTTGTTTGTTGCTATTTTCAGTAGATCTCAGCGTATGGGAGAATCAGTGGGCCACTATTTGGTGTTCAGAAAAGGGAAAGGATAACCTTGTGTGGTTTAACCCCGGCCAGCAGCTCAGCCCCACGCAGCCACTCGCTCGCTTCCCCCTGGTGGGATGGGGGAGAGAGTCGGAAGGGTAAAAGTGAGGAAGCTCGTGGGCTGGGATAAAGGCAGGTTAATGGGGAGAGCAAAAGCCGTGTGTGCAAGCAAAGCAGAACAAGGAATTCATTCCCTGCTTCCCATGGGCCGGGGGGGTGCTCAGCCACCCCCCAGGACAGCCAGGCTCCATCATGTAGCGGTGACTTGGGCAGGCAAATGCCATCGCTCCCAACGTGTCCCCCCCCTTCCTTCTTCTTCCCCCAGCTCTCTGTGCTCAGCCTGACGCCATACGGTGTGGGGTACCCCTTCGGTTGCCTGGGGTCAGCTGTCCCGGATGTGTCCCCGCCCAACTTCTTGTGCCCCCCAGCGCTGGTGGGGTGGGGTGAGAGGCAGAAACGGCCTTGGCTCCGTGTGAGCCCTGCCCAGCAGTCACAAACACATCCTGGGGTGATCAGCACTGTTTTCAGCACAAACCCCAAACACAGCCCCACACCAAGAAGAAAATTAACTTTATCCCCGCCAAAACCAGTGCACCTGGGAACTGGGGGCTGCTTTGCCTTGTGTGCGCCAATGGAAAGGCGGGTGCAGGGTTCGGCTGCATCCTAAGGGACAGGGAGTTGATTTAGTCCCGTAGAACGGTGCGTCTTTTTGTCCCTCTGTGTTTGTGATTATTTAATGCAGACTCCTGCTGTCTGGTTCTCACCTTGGCACCGTGGAGTGATATTCTCAGTCAAAAGAATGACAAGCCAAATGAGGAGAGCAAAGTGTGCCGTACCTGTAAAGCTGTAGCTTGGCTGTTAGTAGGGAATCAGAGCGAGCCCTCTGCACGGTGCCTGCCTGAGGTCTGTGGGCTTTGTGGCTCTGCTGGCTCAGCCCGGCGCCATTCTGCGTGCGCGTCTGTTTTCAGCCTTGTCACTTGATGTCCTTTCCTTTGACAGGCTCTTGGTTTGGCAATGCAGAGACAAAGCGCCGTTACATAGGGGTGATGATGCTGACTCTTACGCCCAGGTATGTGCTCTAAGGTCGGGGGCCAACGGTGGTGGTGTGCCATGGGATCTTCCAGACCGAGAGTGCCTGGCCTGGGCGGGGTTGTCTTCACAGCTTAAGCGTTCGCTCTCAAATCTGTTTGTGCCCGTGTCGTGTTCAGACTCTAGGCTGCGTCAGAGGCGAGTTAGAACCTTGCAAGCCTCTGCACTTGTGGCAGAACCTGCA